TATATATATATATATATTTACCTTAAATGAGTCAGCACCAAAGGGGAGGGATTCTCCATAGTATCGATGCTCAGCAAACACCAACAAAGCCTTCAATTCCTCAGCCACATCCCACATGAATCCCTAAAAAGAAAAGGATCCACTCACAGGTTAAAATCAAGATGTGAAAAAAGTCATCAATTCTTTTTCAACATATAAATGGATGCTAAATCAAACCAAATGATATGTGGAACTGCACAACTTATGTTCTGCATAATTTTTGTTTGTTCTACATAATTGATGTTTGATTGATACACATCAATTTCACACTGAATTAGAATGAAACAATGAAAATTAAAACCCAAGTTGCCCATCTACCCATCATTCCAACTATGTCTAAAATAGTCTAACTGCATTGTGTGCCAAATATTCAAATATCTGAGGATCCTAGGTTAGCCACCTACTACTATACAAGCCTTTACAACATAAAAGAAAAAACAATATGAATAAGCTTACAGAATTCCTTTGGGCTTTACATTAGTTTTACTTGAAAATAAATGAGTAGACAACAATAACTAATATTGATTGAGTGCTTGCAATGTGTCAGGAACTGCTCTAAAAACTTTTTAAGTATTAATTCAGTTAATTGTCACAACAAAGAAATAGGCACTTAGGCTATCTATCCCCTGTTTACAGACAAAGATAGTGAAGTGTAAGAGTTTCTATAATCCATGACAGTCACACAGCCCAAAAGTGAAGATTCAAAGATTGTCTGACTCCAGAGCACAATCATCAGATGCAGTCAAAAATCCTGACTCCCACACTAAGGATTGTCATTAATCATTCACTGCACTTTTTCACTTACCTCAGCTGTGCCTCAGAATCTTTTGCAGTGAAGCATCCTCCACAGTCAACATAAATCAATTAGATTTAGATTAGGCCCAATTGAAACTGTCATTCCTAGTGCACAATGTTGCTTTCTAATGAGCTGCTACTCCCCAACAGAGACAAAAGAAAACCTAAAAATTTCTGTTTGTTATGATAATAAATTATTGTAAGAACCGAATGCATGTGAGCATGGAGACTTAAAACTGGTAACTGGTAATGGTTGCAATAATCACCTCCTTATCTTTTTTTTTTTAAGATTTATTTATTCATATAGAACTGAGGTACAAGCCATAGGTGCAGGGGTGGTAAGAGGATTCACCAGAAACAGAGTGGGGAGCAGAACAGGCAGATTGACGAAGTACACCACTGAGGGGAGCAGTGGGGGGGCCCGGGGGCGGGGGCCACACCATGTGGATCACCTAAGGGGCGGGTCACCACTGAAGCGGATGCGGTCAGCCTGCAGCGCTGTGTCCTAAACTGTTGCACCACCAGGGAGGGCCCTCCTTATCCCTCCTTATCTTTTTTAACAACTTTATTAAATTAAATAAACTTTATTTATTCCCTACCATCTATCCACAGACCCTGTAATATCCAGCTCATGGATACCCTCCTCTAATGATCATCCCTCCTCTCACCATCACTCTGCCAGGTATGTATCTCTATTATGTTACAATATCTGCTGACAAATAAGTCTTAACCTACAGGTTCTTAAAGGTAAAGACCACCTATCAAAATAAACAGAATTCTATGAAATTGAACTCAGGCTGTACGAAGAAGCAATTTATTTAAACTAATTCACATTATTATAAGTGATTATTTGTTGGTGTTTTTCAGGAGCATTTTTATTTTTTAAAAGAGGTCCATGTAACATAATAGCAATAACATTATTGTACAACAGTGATCAATGTTCCTGATGATTTTGTTTTCTATTTTTACATCTATTGCTGTTATGTTAATATACAAAACTATGTTTCAGAGGTATATAGGTTTATACCTCCACAAACGATGTTATCAGACAATGCCTACCACCAAAGTGGCAATAACCTTCCATAGTTCATTAAGACCCCTTTTCACTTTGTTTCCACTCTCCCACCTACCAATTTTGGTAGTCTCAGTTCTGGCTGTCAGTTTTCAAGGGTTTGTTTTGGTTTGTCTATTCCACTTACAAGTAAAACCATAAGCACTTGTCTTGCTTCTTATGACTTATTTTGCTTAGCAAAATCCTCTCCAGCTCTACCCACAAGTGCAAACGGTAAGATTTCATCTTTTCTTAAATAGTGAGTATATTCCAAATGTGTAGAATATACACATATAGTGTATACATATAGAATGCATACACACACATATACAAATTTTCTTTATCCACTCATCTATAATTAGGCATATCAGTTACTTCAATAGTTTGGCTATTAATAGTGCTGCAATGAATCCTAACCACCACTTACTGTTTTTGATCTTTTTTTATATAGCCTATTCTCATAGGTGATGTGGTATTTCATTGTGGTTTTGATTTCTATGAGAAGTGATGATAGGCATTTTCTCTTATGCCTGTTGGTTATACGTATATACACATCTAAAGAAGTGTCTGTTTAGCTCTTGTACATGTTTTTGATTGGGTTGTTCTCTTTTGGTTGAGTTACATGAATTCTTTGTAGATTTGGATATTAGCCCAATGTCAGGCATATGATGTATAAAAATTTTCTTCAATTCAATAGGGTATCTTTTTGTTGAATGATAGTTAATTTCTTCACTGCGTAAAGAAATTCAGCAGGCTTTAGTATGCTTTATACTGATTTATATTCTATCACTTCATTGTACTGAGTTACTGTTCCTAAAGTTTGGATTTTTTTTAAAGGAGTCTTTACGGTTTTTTTCTGTATATTTTCTAAAATGAATCTTTTTATTACTTTCTCCTGCCTAATTGATCTAGCTAGGACTTCCAACATTATGTTAAAAAGTAATGGTTAAGGCCCTCCCTGGTGGCGCAGAGGGTTAAAGCACAGCACTGAGAAACTAAAGCCACTTACTCATGAGTTCAATTCCCGCCTGCCCTGGAGGTGACCACATGGTGTGGCAGACCTCTCCTGACTTGCCCACTGCTCTCCTCAGCAGTGTACTTAATCGATCTGCCTGCTCTGCTCCCCACTCTGTCTCTGGTGAAACCTCTCGCCGCCCCTGAGCCAGTCACTGGCCTGTACCCCAGTTCTGTATGTACAAATAAATAAATCTTTTTTAAAAAAAAAAAAAGTAATTGTTAAGAGTAGGCATTTTTATCTTAGTGAAAAAGCTTTCAATTTTTCATCACTGAATATGATGTCAGTTGTAGGTTTATCAGAGATAGTCTTTGCTATGTTGAAGTAATTTCTTTCTGGCCCCTGATTTTTTTTTTTTTTTTTTGGAGACATTTTAAATCTTCTCAAATGTTTCCCTGGCATCTACTAATATGATAACATGACTTACTTTCTCTCTTTTTATTTTTGTGGTGAATAACATTAATTGATCTGCATATGTTGAACTATCCTTGCATCCCCGAAACAAATTCCACTTGGTCAGTGTGTGATACTTTTAATATATTACTGAACTTGCTTTGCCAAGATTTTGTTGAAATTTTTGTATCTATATCTTTGAGAATGGTGGTCTGAATTTTTATTTTTTTCTTTTATCCTTGTTTGTTCTTGATGTCAAGGTAATGTTGGTCACATAAATATTGCAAGCATTTCTTCTTCAATTTTTTCAAAGAATTTGACATGGATAGACATTAGTTCATCTTTGAAGGTTGGTACAATTCGTTAGTAAAACTGTCTGGTTTTTTGGGAAACTTGATTAGTATTTCAATGTTCTTGCTTGTAATCAACCTCCTAAGGTTTTCTATTTCTGATTCATTCTCAAGAGTCTATAGGATTTAGAATTTATCAATTTCTTGCACATTTTTTAATTTGCTTCCATATTATACCCATTTAACAGATAAGAGAACTAGACACAATAAAAAACTTGCCCAAAGCTACACAACATAAGTGTCAAATATGAATTCAAACTTCAAATGTCTGGTTAAAGTCTTCACTCTTGGCCATTATTGTTAGACTTGCCTCTTAGTAACAGTGTTGAGAAAACATTAACTAGAACATTTTGGTATGTAAATGAAGGTGTCTAGGCATAGGAAGGGTCAGGACTTGTTATTTTAGCATTGCCTATAGTCTTTTCTCTGCTATTATTCTCATACTGAGTATATCTTTCTTTCTACCTCTACTGAGGTCAGATTCCCCACAAGCCTTCAGTTATGTTGCAGTACCCAGCAGAGTAGTAGAGTCTGGTGCAGGCAGAAATAGCTGCTTGCCTATAACAATAAAGAACAGAAGGTGGAAAAATAACTGAACAGGAGAAGCTGCCCTGTGGCCTTGGCATAAAAGGGAAGTTACACAAAGAGAAAGAAAAACAAGGCAGTCTTGGTTTTTCTCAGAATAACAGAGCAGGAATCTGATGGAAAATAAGTCTTGTTTTCCTGTGTCACTGAGATATCCCATTTCTCAGGGAATTATTTCATTTTCAACTAATAGAGTAAATTCTTAACATTCCTAAGGATATAATCAGAAATGTGAAATGCAATTAGTGTAATTGGGTTCATATCTTTGCTTTCAACTTAGTTCAGCTGAGTTCAACAAATATTTGCTAAGTATCAGGTACCATGCTAGATATCAGTAATAGAAAAGACATGATTGAGTCCACACTTTAAGGCAATTTACAACTTGGCTTTTGGAAGAAAACCGAACATGTATACATATCAAGAAGTAAAAACTTAACCCAAAAATTGTAATTAAAAAAATTCACATGTGAAGTAATATTTGGTCATAAGTAGTACAAAACATTCTTTTCTAATTTAAGATGACAAAAAGACAAAGCAAACATTGGAATTTCATAAATCTTTACATACCGTATTATTGCAAAACCAGATAATGTCCCCTTCATTACCAGTGTAGAAAAGTACTGTTCCACCATCTTTCTTCCAGTGTTTATCAGCTACTAGGTACCGTTGCTTAAAGGTCTTATCATTGTTAAATCCAAAATGATCAATCTAAAATAAAAGCAAAACAGATAAGGCAAATTTCAATAGAAAGTAAGTAAGATCAATATAAAATACTTATTTCCATTAAAATCTACCTATGCGGCCCTCCCTGGTAGCCCAGTGGGTTAAAGCACAGCACTAAGAAACTAAAGGCCACTTCATCATGAGTTCAAACCCCACCCACCCTGGAGGTGACCACATGGTGTGGCAGAACTCTCCTGACTCGCCGTCTGCTCCCTTTAGCAGTGTACTTCTCATCTACCTGCCTGTTCTTGCACCCCACTCTGTCTCTGGTGAATCCTCTCACCGTCACTGCACCTCTGGCCTGTACCCCAGTTCTGTATGCACAAATAAATAAAACTTTTTTTAAAAAAAATCAGCATATACAAGATCATCAAAAGTTTTAACTTTATTGGATTTTATTGAATAGTATTAATTGTTGATATTATTTTAAAATTAATTTCTTTGTAAGATAAAGCAATGTTATTAGTGGTCAAGATTTTCAGAATAAGAGAAAAGATAATTATGACATCAAGTAGCCACCTAAAACAATGTTATAACTGAATTGGTAATAGCAATATGAACCCTTTGTTTTTTTAAAACAGACTATCTGAATCTTCATTATTCAAACTTACAATATCAAAATTCAAAAAAAAAAAACTAACTAAACAGAATACTGAAAACATTTATAAACTGTCTCCCTAGTAACAACTGAAATTTCAAGAGCCAGGATTTCTGTGTTCGTTATCATTCCCCAGTGAAATAAAACTAGGGCTTTTTAGTAAATGTAATGGAAATTTGGGACAAGGAAGCTAAAAGACAAACTGATACATCAGGGTCTGCAAGGAAGCACTCAAAATCTCATCAAGTTATGATTAGCAGACATCACTACAAGGGACTATAATCAGGTAAAGTTTTAATAAATTGAACATTAAAATGAATGATTGTAGAAGTACGGCATGATGGTAAAGACACTGGGCTTGCCTCCACCATATAGTCACAACTAGATTTCAGCAGAATAAAGTCAAAAACCCCTAAAAGAAAAATAGATGACCACAACACAGACTAAGCAACAGTCGGACAGAAAAGAGAAGGAAAAAAATTTAAATGAACTGCGTTGCTAGTCATACTGAGATGCCTGACCCAGAAGAGTGAAAGGTGTTCAGCACTCTGCGTCAGGAACACACACCAACTTTGGAGACTCCTGAAGATCCAGCAGTGCACTGGATAAAGAGATGTATACAGTTGGTGCCCAGGTCAGGGGGTACATTGTTAAAGAACTGCAGGCCTGTGGGTGTAAAGCAAGCTTTACTGGCTGAGGCTCTCAACATAGAACAGCTGGAGATACTGAGATGCTGGACTGCAGTTTTCTTTTTTTCTGATAGCCTTATTTGGTTTTGGTACTAGGATGTTAGGGCGACAGTGACCTCATAAAATGTATTTGGAAATGTTTTCTCATTAATTTTTTCAGAATGGGAAAAGGACAGTAATTTGAAATTTTGGTGGAACTCACAAGCAAAACCATTCCAGTTCTGAGGTTTTGTTTTTAGGAGACATTTGATTCACATTTTAATTTTCTTGTTCTTTTAAGGGTCTCTAGTTCTTCCTGGTTCATTCTTGGTGGCTTATATGCTTCCCAAAAGATATCCCTATTTTTCTGAACTATCTGATTTACTGGCATAAAGATGTTCATAGTTGTGTTGATGTTCACTTGAATTTCTCACTCATCTGTTGCAATATTTTCTATTCATTTTGGATTCCATTTCTTAAGAGTTTTCTTCCCCTTTTTCATAATGAGTCTAGTATGAGGTTTGTCTATTTTGCTCACCTTTTCAGAGTCAGCTTTTGGTCTCATTTATCTTTTGATAATCCATTCTTACATAAAAGAAATAATATGAGTAACAAGTAAAAATTCTTCATGCATCTTTTTTTCTATTTCATATATTTCTACTCTTCTTTTCACTGCTTCCTTCTTTCTATTGGCCTTTAGTTCCATTTACTCTTATTTTTCTAGTTCCTGAAGGTAAAAAGCTAGATTATTTATTAAGATCTTTCTTGTTTCATGATAGGGATATGGACTTGTAGAGCTACAAACTTTCTGTAAAGTACTGCTTCAGTTACAGACCATATATTCTGGAAGGTCTTTATGCTTGACTCCAAGTTTTTTTTAATTTATTCTATGATTTCCTCATTAACCATATATTCATTCTAGCATGTTGCTTAGTTTCCATATTATTTGAAAGTTCTTTTCCCACTTTCTTTTTGCAGTTAGTTTCAAGTTTCATATGATTATGATCCAACACTTGATATAATTTTAATCTTTTTACATTTACTGAACTGTGTTTTGTGTCCCAACTTGCGGTCTATGTTTGAAAGTGTGCACTGGACAAGAATGTGTACTTGTTTTTTTGGGGGTGGAGCAATGCCCAATAAATTTCTATTAAGCCCATCTGGCATAATTTCTCGGTAAGGCTGACTTTGTCTGGCTAATCTGTCCACTGATGTGGAAGGGTGCTGTAGACTTCTACAAATATTTTTGGTGTTGTTAATGTCCATTTTCAGGTTTGTTAATCATTGCTTTATATATTTTGATACTCCATTTGGTACATGTATATTGGTACTGTTCCTTCCTGATATATTGATTCCTCAGCCACTATATAATATCCATCCTGTTTACCTTTTTTAGATGGAAGTCTGTTTTATTTGACATAGGTACGCTATTCCTTCTGTGTTAGTGAACCAACTGCTGGTAGGGTTGTTTTCCAAACTTTTGCTTTGAGACTATATTTATCTTTGGAGGCCAAAGGGGTCTCCTGGAGACAACAGAAAGTTGGGCTGTGTTTTATAAAACAACCAGCATCTCTGAACCTTTTGATTGGTGATTCAGGATTCAGTTAATTTCCATTAATGTTTTCTCCATTACCTTTGAATAAGTTCTCTGTTCTGTTCTTTCTTGCTCTTCTGTAATATCCACGATCCATATGATAGATAGTTCTTAAGGTAGGTCATTTTTTAAAAAATCTTATTTTTCTCTTCTTTCATAGAGTTCCTTTGTATATTATTATCTTTCAGGTCACTAAGTGAAGTCTTCATTTGGTGAATTCTGCTTCCAAAGCTTTCTCTGGAATATTTTATCTCCTTGATTAAATTCTCTATATCTTGAATCTCTTGTTATTTTCTTACTTAAAGTATCTACTTTGTGCTCATCAATTTTATGTACTCATTTGTTTTTCTGAGTTTTGTTTTATTTCTTTGATTAACTTATCGGTTTTCTCATACCACTTTGACTTGCCTTTCTGCAGGTTCATTTACTCATTTTCTTCATTATAGCAACAAACTATCTGATAGGAGATATAATCTTTCTTGCCTTTTTGATTGGATTCAGGAGAGTTGTTTTGTCCTTGTGATGTCAACACAGAGATTTTTATTTTACCCACTGGTCTCAGAATCTAGCTTTTTTATTGTACCTGATAAAAACAGCCAACAAACATTTATATAGTTTAACAAAATTTACTTGAACATTTCAAGAATCCAGTCTAAAGTGCTTATATGTGTGTATATATACTATTAAACATAAAATAAATTCTCAGAAATATGAGAACTTTAATCAAGTTCTCAAAGATACACCATCAGTTATGAAACACAGTATTATATTCTCCATGTAATGATACAGGAAAAGTGAGGCAAGAAGATCAAATCACTTCTGATATTCTTTCCAAAATGGATAACCTCAATTTAATCATGAGCAAAAATCAGATAACCTAGTTGAGGGCCATTCCATGAAGTAATTTGCCTGGATTTATCAAAAAAGTCAAAATCATGAAAGACAAAGCATTGAGTTTCACAGGTTGAAGAAGAATACTAAAGAGGTAAGACATAACCAAATGTAATGTGAGATCCTGGATTGGATCTGGATACAGAAAACATTTTTTTCTCAATTTGTAAGAAAATTGGCAAAATGTAAATAAGGTCTACAGATTAATTAACAGTACTATATCAGTTTCCTGGCTGGCATCCAGGAAAGCTGAATGAAGAAGCTGTACTAGAACACTCTGCATTGTTTTTGAAAATTTTTAGAAAATCTAAAATTATTCTAAAATTTAAGTTTTTTAAAAAAATTGCATTGATGGTATACTTTGCACTACACCCGAAAAAGAGGGTGGGAGAATCATAAACTTCCAATATACCAACAACAATGTAAGCCAATGTTACTTTGATAAAAAAATAATAACTCTCCTAACATGTTATCAGGAGAAAAATATTCTCAGAGAAAAAACTTTGATTTAGAATAACAAGACTGTAAGAACTTCTGAACAAGAGAAAGTCAAATATTCTTACTCCTAGCAATCATCCCTAATTGTTTGGGGCCAAAAAGAGTAAACTGTTCATATGGTTGCAAGATAGCAGGTTTGGGAGTTAACAGACCTTTTAAACTTCAATCTCAGTAAGGTTTCAGGAAGTCATTTAATGTCCCTGTGCCCTAGTATCATCCTATTAAAAACAACACAAAATTCAAAGGATTGCTCTGGTGATTCGGAAAAATACACCTAAAGTACCAGTTATAGTTTTGGATAAATTGTAAGTGTTCAATAAATGTTATTTAGCCTGTTCATCTCATTTGCATACTCTCTATGCATGGAGTTAAGAATTTAATGACCTATCCAAACAAAGTAAGATGCTTCAAAATTCACGCTAAAACAAAATTCAACTTTTCTTTCATAATTATTAATTCGAAAGTATTATACGTTCAAGAATGTGCAGCAACGGCACAGATCATCTAGAACTCTGAGGGATTTGAAACTATATCTGACTGGTTACTAGGAAATCCATTTCCAAAATTGTGATCTGTGAAAGTTGGAAATGGTAGCTTTTCTATCCATATAGTTTTTCCCTAAAGTTGGATGGCTTTACCTTTGTCATTAACTACTTTAAAATTAGGTTAATCAATCTGAAAGTCCTCATATTTTACCATGTTTCACCTACAGTTTCCTAAGATTGAATCTGGTATT